TGCTTGGCTACGTCGTACACGCACCTGTGTTTTTGAATCAAACGGCGATAACTTCGAACAATACCTATAAAGTACGTTTACCTAAAAACTGAAAACGCGGCAACGCCGTCATATTTGTTACCTCTGTTCGTGGTCTGCACCACCGCCTGCGTCTGCTCGGTAGCGCATCAGCTGATTTCACTTTCTGTTGGAGCGGTATGATTTCGGGCAGAGACGTACTTCTCGTCAACTGGAGAGTGAGTACTTTTTCCTTTATTTTTTTACTTGGTCGCCCTCGTTTCACTACGCATTACCTTTGTTATTTCAAGGGTAGTTGTTTCTGAAAAGGACAACCCCAACTTTGCGGACACCCTGTATACATAAGAAAAGATACTGCACCAATATCAGGTAAGGGTAAATACAACTTGTTTTATTTGCTTACGGAAATTGGCAGGAGACATTTCCTTGATATTTACCTGGTAAAGCATTGTAAAGTATGGCAGCATTATACGAAAAACAACGGTTGAGTAGATTGGTCAATGGCTAGACTTCGCCAATTGCATCATACCTTTTAATGTTATGTTGCGAAGTTAATGATGCAATAAAAACACTTATGTCCAAACCAGACAAGAAACGAACCGGTTTATAATCGTCGAACCACAGAATGACAACAAAACCTGGAGAACTGCAATGAAATTCTACCTTACCATATTTCATATTTTGTATGACAAAAATCAGGATAATTCAATTCATTTAAAACATTTCCTATTTCTTGCATTTATTTTTATCTGCAATCCAAAACTCTATGTTTCTATCATATTTTGAACAATGTTTTTATAACCTGAAATTATTTTAATTAAAGCGTACCCAAATTTACGAATTCTGGCAAAAGCGCTGTATAAGGCAAAAATAACCTTACGAAATAAACCCTCCCTATTCTCCGTAGCTAACGGATCCTCCTGACTTCGATAATGGATCGCGAAGGTTTATCCTGCTACTGCGCAAAATCGAAATAAGGAACTTCATAACGAAGCGGCGAAACAATAGCACTAAAAACTCTCTAATATCCCTAATCGAGTGGTGTAAAAACCATGTTAGCTTATTATTTTCATATGATTGTAATTATAAATGCAAAGTATGATAATGTTGAAACTGACCTTCCCTAACACCGTTCCGATCCTAATCAATAAACATGCGGGTATTTCTTGCGATACCTTCTTATTAAATCTGAGGCCATAATCTATCTATGGAAACATAAAAGCACAGGAAATTGATTAAGAGCATAAAAACAAACAGTCTCAAGGCACTCCGTATATGAAGCATTTATAGGTCGCTCTATTAACATTATCCATTCCGAGATACTACAGATCCCTCTCACCGTGTAATTTAGCTATTTCAGTTAGCTAATGCGCCTTCAAAATGGCCGAAGTTGAAGTATAAAATAACCGTAAGCCGTAAACAGCAAGTATAATTAATGATACACATGTTCCATGGACGTCAGATAGAATATTTGTAAGAGGTGCTAGGTTAGCTACAGTACATGTTGAGAGGGAAATCAGCAATTTTTATGAATTTTTAATCTTTTTTGTTCAGAGTTGCTCATAACTAAGCATTTGCTATGACTAAATATAATGTGTTTATTTGACTGAAGGCAGTCTAGACGTACCATTGCTTTAATTTTAGTTCCTTAATTACAGGAGCAGTGTTTCGAGTCAACCTTATCTGATCGTTTTTAATTACTAATAGCTGCTCTGGGCTAGTACACTTTGAGATCCCTTTTGTGCTACAAAAAACTAAAAAAATGGCGTCACGTGAGTTGACCCCTCTCAGAAAAAGTCGTTACCGGTAGTGCATTTGGAAACGTTGCCCCTCGCCCGATACTTAACCCCGATAGACGTGGCAGTGCGGTCAGAGCATAGGAAACATTATGCTGTGAGGCGGCAGAAATTCGTGTAGTACAGCATGATACTAATACCAGCAAGGCCGGCGTCACGCCGCCGGGAGTAGCAGCCGCAGCCGGTAGGTACGCGATCCGTCTGCTGAGAATATTTGAATTTTTAAGGGCTACGAAGAAACCTCCCAACTAGCAAAGTAGTGCTATTAGTTTTTGGTAAAAGAACCGTTCAGCCATAAAAGCTCTCTATTGTTGTTGCCTGAACACCAAACTGCTGGCTTAATGTTGTGTGGTATGCAAATTTGCTTTCTGCAACATATTTGCTCTAAAATGAGGTGTTTAAAATATTCTTATAGCATAGTTACACAACACCTTATAGGACAAATGTTTAGCTGTTGCATAAACGTTTATACAACTATTTTATAGGCATATTTGCAGGTTAGTCAAAACGGTTGTGTTGTGGCATCCATGGTAACATTTATAAAACAAACCCCAGCCTTGTTGTTTTGCTGCGCAAATTTACTACTTTAGCCAATAAATTGCTCCCAACGGAAGCATAAGCGCTTCCGTTGTATAAGTACAAGGTTGTTTAGTAACTGTTAAAGGCTGTACATATGCTAAATATGTTGGTAAACAACTTCACCATAACCTAACTTTCTGCTGTCATATTTTTGTTAAAATGCCATATCCAGTGTTTTAAGACAAACAACGCATGCATATTGGTTAAAAATGTTTTATCAACTGTTCAAACAGAAGATGTAGATCTGGTACAAATTCTAGGTAAATCATTCGACTCTGTCGGTATTTCATTTCTGACATTTGTCAAATTGTTGTATAACACCTGCAGGCAACACCAAAATATTCTAATAAACTAAAGACAACATGAACGATGCCATGATTATACACAACCACCCGCCATATTGGGCAAACCTTTATTCCTCTATTTGATATTAAATAATTATGTTTCAATTCGAAATTACAGATATAAAGTGATAAACATTAGTGTAATTGTGTCTAAATATAGGATTTGTGGAAGATTTAACGCAGATAAGTTCAGTTCTCCATCTTACAAATCTAGACATACTTTTGATAATTATCAAAATATGAATCAAATACGAAGCCCGTAGAAATTGCCTAACTACTTTGCACGATAATCACAATAAAATTTGCTGCGCAAGTAATTCAATAGCCCTATATCACAGTGTAGAAGTCTATCATATACCTCTGGGTATGAAATTCACAATGGCCGATATGTAAGTAAACAAGATGACTGTATTGTGTTAGTTAAATATTCTTCACTTCGTCTATACAATACATAGAAATAGAAATAGTTTGGTTGCAATAAAGTAGAATCACGTAACAGAATAGTTGTATAGTTGACAAAAACTGAATCTTGCACTGACGCAAATGTCCTATAGCGGCTGCAAGAGGCTTACACTTTTGTTGTATAACTGTTACCTGCAGCCCTTGTACAACCTCTTAAATGTCTGAAGTGTCCTATTAGGTGTGCCTATTCCGCTTGTATAGCTGTTCTAAGAGGGTTTTGCAAATTTCTTACAGTATACAATACTGTGTAAGGAATAGTGTACAATCATTCTTGCAACTCTAATAAGAGTGATAACTGTTAGTTGGGCTATGATGTGTGAAATGTCTCAAAGGTGCTTAAAATTACCAAGGTTGGCTAATTTTTTTCAAAGATGATCAAGATGCCCTAATACGTCAAAAAACGAAGTTTTAGCGGTTTTTATTTCTGTTTCATTCATCTAAAACTAAAGTCGCTTCACTATACTTGGACACTTATGTGTCCGTGGACTCAAAAGTGAGACTTATTAATGCCTATTCATTAAGCACACTTTACCGCTCGATCGTAGGCAAAAGCATATTACGAATGTCTTCTTGATACTGGTATACAAAATATCCTCTTTAACTCCACCAACATACAATGTCCCGTTATTCTTTAAAAGTATGATAACTTCCCGAAAAGAGGTTTTTCTGTTTTTCAGTTTGATTTTTCTCCTAAGGTTAGAGATGTAGCTACCGCACAAGTTTAGACTAACGAAACGACGTACTTGTTATTGTAACGCTGCCAAATTTGCCTTGCATGCCTGAATCATACAACAGTATCTTGCAGACTTCTAGCACTTCTGACATCCCGGTCTATTATACCTAAGCTGATTTAAGATATTTGCTTTTTTCTTAGCATGAAAAATATGCTCTAAAATAGCACATAAGTTGCCATAAGCATGACTTCTAAAATATGCATATGAAAGATATTAGCTGCAAGTTTTTTTTTTGCATTTAGTACCACGAGCATATCCAAAATTCGCAAAAATTGACAAGTGCATAGTACTGTCTGCAAAAACCAAAAGTTCGCCAATTTTGGCGTAACAGACAGTTAAAAATTAAAAGTTAAAAATCGCTTTAAAGTAAGGTACTCTCAAATAATCTAAAATGGTCAGCTTTAAAGAAATGTTAATGGAAGCCTTTTTTGTTTAGAATTATTCTAAAAACCTGAAAAACGTATTCAGGCAAAAAATGTAATTTACTTAAAAAAGTTGTATAAACAATATTACGAGGGGTGTCTTTTAAGTTTTGCATATGGAAATAAAACAAGACGGTAGGTAGTTTTAAATAACATTATTGTCTTTCTAAGTATTCTCCACAAAGATTAATACACATCTGCATGCGCTCGAACCAATCTTCGAAGCACTTATTCCGCTCGTTTGCTGGCAGATCCAAAACGGCATTTTTGAATGCGTCAACTGCTTCTTCTGGTGACTGGAACCTTTGACCACACAGTCTGTTTTTAATTTTTGGGAAAGTAAAGAAATCGTTAGGACTTGGATCATGACTATATGGTCCAATAATTCCACGTTTTCTTCCGTTCAATACTGCCTTGTTTTTTGGGCTGTGTGCGAGCTTTCATTGTCTTGGTGGAGGATGATTATTCTTTCGTGGTTGATTCTTCGAAGCTCGGTGATGACTTTTGCCAAACAAATGGTGGTATACTAATCCGTAGTAACAGTTCATTAAGAGGAATCGTTGTAATATGACCCGCTTTTGACACAAGTGTCGCGACCACCTTTTTCACTTCGAGAACGGATGACTTTTGTTGGCTTTTCTTCACCTTGGAACACCCAAACAGCCGACTGTCGTTTATTTTCTGGTTCATAACAGTTAATCCACGATTCATCACCACTAACAATACTGTACACATTTTTTGAGTTTCCGGAATTGAAACGATCAAGCGTTTTTTGACACCAATTAATCCTGGCTGCTTTCTGCTCTTCAATCAACAGGTGGGGTATCCAACGAGAAACTAATTTTCTTACTCCTAATTCTTCATGTAAAATTTTTTGAATTGAGGTCTTTGAGATCTTCAAGGACGTCTCAATCTCGCGATATATCACATGACTATCTTCAATGATGAGTTTGCGCACAGCATCGACGTTTTCCTCAGCAAGGCATTCTTGTTGCGATAATTGTCTCTGAAAGTTGTAATAAATTATGGCGCGAAAATGTTCTCGATTGAGTCCCATTTTTCTAATGACTGGGTGACACTTAAAAATTCCCTGTACGTATAGTGAGAACACTGCACGTATCGTTGTGGAACTTTGAATTTAAGTTTACTAAAGAGTGAGGTTAAGATTCAGTACTGATGTTTGATCCGCGCGGCCTACTATGTTTCTATATGCAAAACTTAAAAGACATCCCTCGTATTGATCTGGGTTACCGTGAGGGTATATTCAATGCTTAAAAGCTCGATTAAGAATTATGATATATGAGGTCGCCAAGTATTTATATTGAAGTTAGAACCCTGCTCAATAAGACGTTGACGAGCATTTTTAAGATAACTTTATTTTAAAACGATTCCAACCTGGGTATTCATGCAAAAGGGCAAACTTTAGATTTTCTAACACTGCACATATTAAATTACACAGGTGACGCAGAAACCCCTACAGAAGAAGACACTAAAATCGTTTCTTGCCACTGCCTTTTTTTAAACATCTATTGCATTTTAGAATAAGATATATAGTTTTACACCAACTATTTCTCTTCGGTAACTTACCAATAATACAAAAAAAATGCAGATTAGTGAAGTTTGATGTTGAAAATTGAATAATGCGGCTTAGGGAATCGATTGCCCTTCATTACAAACTTATTTTAAAAATATACTAAGTGACATATAAATCCGAACACCCAGTTGAAATGGTTTTATTTTAATAAAAAGTACTTAATGAAGCATAATAAGTAAATGATAAAAATTTCAAAATGATTGCACTGCTTTAAAGCCCTTTGACCTTTAATAATATGTGGATGCACCCTGATATGCTACGCATTCTCCAACGCGCCTAGGCATGCTTCTGATCAGGTGGTCAATGTCCTCCTGTGGTATGTCATTCCACCAACTCTTCTCGAAGTGCCTCTAGAGTCTGAGGAGGACGTTGCAAATTGAGCAATCTCCTACCCATCATATCCCACACGTGCTCAATTGGGGATAAGTCGGGAGATCTTGGTGGCCATGGTAACAATGTGACATCATTATGTTGAAAGAAGTCTATTGTGACTCTTGCAACATGTGGTCGGGCATTATCTTGTTGGAAAGCTGGATCTGCCAGGGTGTCAAGAAAGGGAAAACGATGGGGTTCCAGAACTTCGTGGATATAACGCTGCGCGTTCATGTTACCTCTGATGAAGATTAAAGGTGACCTGGAACCATAAGCTATAGCACCCCAAACCATAACTCCAACAGTGATGAACATGTCTTTCAACAAAAAACTGTGGATTCCTCCTTTCACCACGTCGCCTTCTAACCCTGGCACGACCATCGTGCATGCCTAAACAAAATCGAGACTCGTCACTAAAGACAATACTGTTCCATTCCTGATCCCAGAGTGGCCGTTGTCTGCACCACTCAAGGCGATTACGTCGGTGTTCTCGAGTTAAAGGGAGGACCCAGTGTGGCCGGTATGAAAACAAGCCAAAACTTCTCATTCGTCGGCAAACACTTCGCATGACAATAGGTCTTCCGTGTTCTGCAAACCATTCATTTCCAATGGACCTGGTAGTGTAGAAACGGTCCCTTAAGGCCAATAATCTTAGGCGGCGATCTTCACGGTCTGTTGTTCTACGGCGGCGTCCAGTGCCCCTTGCTCTTTGCGTACGGCCTCCTCGAAGCCATGCCTGACAACACCTAACCACAGTGTCTACACTTCTTTGCAGTCTAACTGCAATTGCCCGAAAAGAAAGTCCAGCTTCCCGAAGTCCCACTACACGGCCCCTATCAAACGCACGAAGTTGACGAAATCGTACAGGTCTCCGTACTCTAGGCATCGTAACCGATCGTAAAGGATGTCAAGAACCAAAATCGGCCAACGTTGATTCTTTACTGCGGGTGAAATATTCATTTTTAGAGCGTTAGTGAATTAAAAAAAAGCAGTATAGCAGTAAGTATATTTATTGCTTAATTCCAAGCATTCTTATAACTTACAAATCCGCTTAGGAAAACAAAAGCCACTTTACCTCCACCCATGCTCACATACAACCGCATGTTAATGAGTAGAACCACGTTCGTTTTCATTTAAATATGCTGCTTACTAATTCATCAAGATTAGTTTAGATTAACGTGCATTTGATGGAGTGGGAAATGTTAAATGTATCAAGTAGGTGTTGCCGAGCTAGCCGCTGGACGGATGTATAAACGTCATCATTCATGGCGGTAGTTTTTTATTCTCTAGATTAGAGTATTTATTGCCTTTTGTAACGTGTTTTACACATTTACAAAGAATAAACTAGAATAGAAAGAAATAGGCTGATTTAGTAGTTCCCACAACTGCTTTAATGCTGTGGATAGAAATGTTGCTAAGAAATAAATAGTTTCAGGCAATAGGGATATTTAAGGAATGTTATCCTAAAACAAAGAATCAAGTTTTAATGCCATCCAATATTCTTCATCTTTATCTACAAAGGTGGTAAAGTAGCTTTAACGCCTACTGTGTATAAATATTAACTTATACTAAGTGACATATAAATCCGAACACCCAGTTTAAATGGTTTTATTTTAATAAAAGTTGGTGAATGTATTTATCTTACTGTAAATAACAAGTGAAAAAATGTTCAGCCTTATCAGTTGGACATTCCGGTTTTTATACTGTTTTTTTTTTAATTCACTAACGCTCTAAAAATGAATATTTCAGCCGCAGTAAAGAATCAACGTTGGCGGATTTTGGTTCTTGACATCCTTTACGATCGCTTACAATGCCTAGAGTACGGAGACCTGTACGATTTCGTCAACTTAGTGAGTTTGATAGGGGCCGTATAGTGGGACTTCGGGAATCTGGACTTTCTTTTCGGGCAATTGCAGTTAGAGTGCAAAGAAGTGTAGACACTGTGGTTAGGTGTTGTCAGGCATGGCTTCGAGAAGGCCGTACGCAAAGAGCAAGGGGCACTGAACGCCGCCGTAGAACAACATACCGTGAAAATCGCCGCCTAAGATTATTGGCCTTAAGGGACCGTTTCTCCACTACCAGGTCCATTGTAAATGAATGGTTTGCAGAACACGGAAGACCTATTGGCATGCGAAGTGTTTACCGACGAATGAGAAGTTTTGGCTTGTTTTCATACCGGCTACACTGGGTCCTCCCTTTAACTCGAGAACACCGACGTAATCGCCTTGAGTGGTGCAGACAACGGTCACTCTGGGATCAGGAATGGAACAGTATTGTCTTTAGTGACGAGTTTCGATTTTGTTTAGGCATGAACGATGGTCGTGCCAGGGTTAGAAGGCGACGTGGTGAAAGGAGGAATCCACAGTTTTTTGTTGAAAGACATGTTCATCACACTGCTGGAGTTATGGCTTGGGGTGCTATAGCTTATGGTTCCAGGTCACCTTTAATCTTCATCAGAGGTAACATGAACGCGTAGCGTTATATCCACGAAGTTCTAGAACCCCACCTTTTACCCTATCTTGACACCCTGGCAGATCCAACTTTCCAACAAGATAATGCCCGACCACATGTTGCAAGAGTCACAATAGACTTCTTTCAACATAATGATGTCACATTGTTACCATGGCCACCAAGATCTCCCTACTTATCCCCAATTCAGCACGTGTGGGATATGATGGGTAGGAGATTGCTCAATTTGCAACGTCCTCCTCAGACTCTAGAAGCACTTCGAGAGGAGTTGGTGGTTGCCTGGAATGAGATACCACAGGAGGACATTGATCACCTGATCAGAAGCATGCCTAGGCGCGTTGGAGAATGCGTAGCACATCAGGGTGCATCCACACATTATTAAAGGTCAAAGGGCTTTAAAGCAGTGCAATCATTTTGAAATTTTTATCATTTACTTATTATGCTTCATTAAGTACTTATACAAAATTTTATTAAAATAAAACCACTTAAACTGGGTGTTCGGATTTATATGTCACTTAGTATATATTGACCCCAATTAGAGGACCACGGGAACAGTTCTTATTGATTCGTTGGTGTGCGACCAGTAGTATTTGTTTTGAATTTCATATAAATTTTTAATTTTAGCGGATCATATTTAAAGTGCAGCCTGCTATTTATTTTCCTTGGCCTGCAATGCATTATGCCTTGGGCTATAGCATACTCTTCATGATGCATAGATAGGCGCGAGTTTTCTGTGTAATGCTCGTGGTAACATACAGATATATTTAGCCCCTTGACTCGTTGTTTGACGTATCATTTGTGTGATGAAATTTTCTTTTTTGGGTTTCGTAAAATCATATGATAACTTACTAGTACTATCGAGTCAATAAAACACCATTATTAGCATAATTTTTAATAATCTTTAATTATTAAATTTTATAATCATATAAGATATACAGAGATCCCTGATCAGACATTATTTACAACAGATTTACACAATCGTGGTCTTAACTGCTACTATAATCATTTTTATACAAATATACATTAGTATCATAATATCTTACAAAAATTCTACCAGCGATTACAACTAATCATATGATTTGATTGAGTTTTGAAACAGATGAACTACAGATTGAAACTTTCCATGGAACCCTTGTGAGTAATTTCAATTTAAAATGACACGTACAGCAAGTCCAAACTACATATTCCAGATGTTCAATGTCGAAAACTTACAGATATACAGGCTGTCCAGAAATTGAAGGATAATCCTTCAGCTGCAAAGGAGTGATAGCTTGTCTGTCGAAATCCTTTATTTTGAAGTTTGATTTTTTAAATCAGACGTTTCGTTTTCGAGGCAATTAGAAAAACATTAGTTTATCATAACTTGTTCAGATAGAAAACAAAAACACACGAAAATATCACTTCTTATTTCAAATCTACAATTCGTTTATAATTTAAAACGGAAACTACCAACATAAACAGCAATTCGGAAGATTAGACCTGGCAACAACCAAATAACAACCCGAATTTTTTCCGCATTCTCTTCATCAACACAGATATCATTGGAGTAGGGGACACCGGGGCGGGGCAGGGTACCGGGGCAGAACGGTTCGCATACCATATTTCTCACTGTAAACGCTAGATGTTACTAGCGCTCTCTGTTATCGTTTAGTAGAACGCCACGCATCGGTCGGCAACAATGAACAGATTGCAGCAAACAGTTCAAAGTGTTTTCGGCCAAACGTAATGAATTTGTTCAACTTTTCAGGATTTTTAATACAATGTAAGTTATTTAATTATTCGTTTTGGCGTTTATTGTTCATTTAACTGTACTCGGCATGTGTACAAGTATCTTTTGGCATATTCACGACAAAATATTAATAAAGCGTTTCTATGCAAAGGTTATGTTGTGTTATGAGTAGCTTGTGGGGCAGAACAGGTTGGGACCCCATTCTGCCCCTTATTATCAACGATCTCATTTTGATGCCTTGTGTTGCTTTCAGATGGTTCGCAATTATATTAGAAAGACCGATCGGCAACGGTGGAGTTCTGAAACTATGGAACGAGCTGTAGCTGCAGTAGTAAGAGGCGTAATGGGTTGCAAGAAAGCTTCAGTTCAATTCCAGCTTCCACAAACTACATTGGAAAGATACGTGAAAAAGCGTAGGACTGGCCCAAATTCTGTGATTGATAAAACCGCTGGAAAATATCACTGTGTTTTTACTCAAGACCAAGAGGTAGAACTAGTTGTATATTTAAAGGATATGCAAAAGAGATTGTTTGGTTTAACATTAAAAGAACTCAGAAAGCTAGCCTATCAATTAGCGGTTAGGAATGGTTGTGAGCATCCATTTAACAAACATACAGAAATGGCGGGAGAAGACTGGGTCCACTCATTTATGAGGCGTCATTCTGAGTTAAGTTTGAGGAAGCCTGAGGCCACTTCTGGAGCACGTGCGATGGGATTTAACCGAGTAGCAGTCGCGCAGTTCTTTACATTATTAAATAAGGTTATTATTGAGAAAAAAATTACCTGTGAAAGAATTTATAATTGCGATGAGACTGGCATTACAGTGATTCCAAAGCAGCATTCAAGGGTTATTGCAAATAGAGGACAACGTTAGGTAGGCGTATTGACTTCTACTGAGCGTGGCAATACAGTAACGGCAGAAATTTGTTGCTCTGCTGCGGGAAATTTCATGCTCCCCCTGTTGATTTTCCCGCGACAAAAGAAGAGACAAGAATTTGAATTGGGCTTGCCACCTGGAGCTTGGATTGCGGCAAATGACTCTGGATGGATGACTATGGAAGTGTTTTTCGAATGGTTCAAGAAGTTTATTAAATTTTATGGTGCAAAAAAAGAAACTCCCGTGCTCTTACTATTTGATGGACATGCATCTCATACGAAAAAAATCGATGTAATAGATCTGGCTCGAGATAATGGCGTTATTTTATTATGTTTCCCACCGCACTGTTCGCACAGGCTCCAGCCTCAAGATGTGGCATTTATGAGACCTTTAAGTCTATAATACTAAGATGAACTGCGAAGATGGTTGCGGTCAAATCCAGGTAAGGTTGTTACTTTATTTCAAATTTCAACCTTGTTTGGACAAGCTTTTATTAACGCCGCTAATATGAAAACCGCGCTAAAAGGTTTTGAAAAAACTGGTATTTGGCCAACAAACGAGGGAATTTTCACTGACGATGACTTTTTACCAGCCGAGACAACTAATATTCCCATTGCTGAGAAAGAAATTGCCCCTACTCAAGTAACTCAAGTCGATGATTTTCCAGAAAATAATTCCTTCAATGATCCCTCAACCCCACCTCCCAGAGAACTAAAGGAAACTAGCAACGAAACTCAAAATGGCTCTTTACCCTGGATGTCTGACACTCCTATTGCACCAATAAAAAAAGTGATCGCCTCTAGTTATCCAGCCGTTTCTCCGGAAGCGTTTATGCCAGTACCAAAACTAACGACAACCATTAAGCGAGTGCAGAGAACGAGAGGCAAAACCACTATTACTACAGAGTCACCGCATAAAGCAGAGTTGACTGAGGCATTAGAAAAATCAAAGAAAACAAAGTGAAAAAAATCTTTCAGGTCAGAATCAGAAGAGGGAAACAGAGAAGATGTCTCGACCAAAAAAGCAAAAGATAATAGAAGCTAGAGTAAGCTCCGAGGAGGAAGAAGGAGAAGACACGTTATGTTTATTCTGTAACGACCAATATTCAACATCAACTGAAGGTTGGATTTCTTGCATTCAGTGTAAAAAGTGGGCTCATTACTCTTGTGCGGGAATAGATAGTGACGACGACGAGTCAGAACTGATTTGTGACATTTGTAAACCCGAGTTACCCCATCGTGCCCCGCCGACGGGGCAGAATGGAGTAAAAGACACTTTTTGTTTAATTTGATGACATAAAAAAGCCTTATTTTCATATTTGTTTGTGTTTTCATGTTTATGATACCTCAATAGATCATTATGTACCTTTTTAAGTTTCTGTAACATCATTTACCCACCCAAACTTGAAATTGAATGTTACGGTCCCCATTCCGCCCCGGTCTCCCCTACTGTATTCATTGTTATACCTGTTTAGTTATTCGTTGCTAAAAGTAACAAATAAGAGAAAAGCTGAGATGTGTAAGTTTTTTTGACACAAAATTCAGCACTAGAAATTTCAAAATGGCGGACTGAGGGGTTGCCGAAGTGGGGGGTTTTTCTAGACAAAACCCTATATCTCAGTAGCTAATTACCAAAACCCCATAGTATGTTATATCAATCTTTTTCTTTAGAATTGGTTCAGCCAAATATGCAACTAAATTTGAGGCATTCCATTTCAAAAATCGCAGCTTTGTTATGTAGCTCGAAATTGGAACACCCTGTATAATGACCAATATTTTAGAAATGTGCCCTCAACTGTGATGTATAACATCCCATAAATAGATTTTCCCAAAATGTATTTGTTTATGAGTAATATTCCGTCCACACATGGATGGGCCACCCTGTATATTTCCAGCAAGACGGCGCTCCTCCTCACTATGTTCTTCCGTTTCGGCAATGGCTAGACGACGAGTTTCCAGATAAATGGATAGGGCGAAGAGGGCCTATAGAATGGCCTGATAGATCTCCTGATTTGACGCCATTAGACTTTCTTCTATGAGGCCATTTGATACATTGTGTTTACTCCGCAACCTGAAAGTTTGGATGAACTTCGTCCACGCCTCATTGAAAGCTGCCATGATATCCCACAACATGTTTTTGAAAATGTCCGTCAAGAATTTGAACATCGCCAATATCATTGTTTGGCGAATAACGGGCAACGTTTTGAACACTTATTGAAATAAAAAGTGATCTTTTCGTGTGTTTTTGTTTTCTATCGGAACAAACTAAGATAAATCAAGACTTTTCTAATTTTCTTGCAAACGGATCGACCGATTTAAAAAAATCAAACGCAAAATAAAGGACCTTTCAAACAAGCTGTTACTCCCCCTGGGGGCAGAGGGTGAAGTAGTTTTGAAGAGCTTTCAAATGAATGTGAATATTCAGAGATGAAAGATTGATTCTTCCACCCAATTCTCTTCTCGTACCATCGCAAGATTGTTTTTCTTCAGGAATAACTGAGATGCATTTCAGCGATTCTCTTTTAGTGATGGGTGTCGTATGTTTCAGGATTTGTGCGAATGACTTTTACTAACTGGTTTTTCTCAACCTCGTCGACTTTGTCAATTCTGTTTAAGTTTAAGGTTAGGTGGATTTGCTTCGTGATACTGTTTTCTACTTTCTCACGCTTTTTTTTGTTCGACTTTTTTTGGATAGTGTTAACAGAAAAATTATAATGTTGACGTAAGCTTAGATTTACTTGTTGGTGGTGCGTACTTTTCCACATTCCTCATAAATTTAATAAAGCGGTATGCTTTATTGTTTTTTGCCGCTACAACTTTTCCATTATTTCAAATTTCGCACAAATTTTTATTGTTATATCTAAAAACCAAGAAGGTGTAGTAGACATCATAAAAACTATGATATCCTTGGTCGCGTATCAATGTCAAATGTCATTCTTTTCACATAGGTCTGCTCTTTCTACCACCTTGATCAAAAAGATCGCGGAATGGTCGCCGTATGGCACTCGTAGCAATTCTGTTTATCTTGTTATGGTGCTCAACTTTCACTGATATTCCCTCCAAATTTTGGTGTCATTTCATTATCAGTTGTCAAAGCTACGTCAAGTTGAGTACATGTACGATTTATTAGGATTTTTACAATGGATCTGAATGAACAACAACGCGTTTGCATTAAATTTTGTGTTAAAAACAATATCAACGGCCGTTTTCGACGGGTCACAGAAGGTCGTCAATCCATCGCCGATGATGAGCGCAGCGGCAAGTCATCGACATCGAAAACAGAAAAAAACGTTGACAAAGTGAAGAAAATGTTAGCCACCAACCGCAAATTAACTATCAGAGAGATGGCAGAGGACTTGAGCATCGCTTATGGACCCATTCGAAGCACTTTGGTCAACGATTGGTGACTCCGTCGTGTTGTTGCCAAGTTGGTGCCAAAAGACTTGAATTTCATGTAAAAAAGACCGACAAAGACATGATTTCCATGGTTGATTCTGGCCCAACGTTAATCAATCGCATCATTACCGGCGCGCGCCGGATGAGCCGAGACCGAGGAAACCACGACGCTTCTTGTCGAAAAAGAAGGTAATGCTCACGGTTTTCATGAACTATTACGGCCTGGTGCATCGTGAATTCTTACCAGAAGGTCAACAAGGAGTACTATTCGGGTATTTTGAGACGATCCCGTGAATCAATCCGTCAAAAAAGTTTATGCGCAAAAGACTCGTGGATCTTGCACAACGAAAACTCACGATGGCACAATGCCATAATTATCCGTGAGTTTTTGGTCAAAAACAGCACGAATGCCAATCAGCAACCCCACCCAATTCACCTGATTTGGCCCCATGTGACGTCTTGTTCAATAGAATCAAAAAGCCACTGAGAGAAGCCCGTTTTTGCAGCGGATACGAGATAATAGAAAAATCGAAGATGGCCCTAATAGAGATACTTGACGTTGAGTTTAAAAAATGTTTCGCAGACTGGGATAGTATCGATTTTGAACAATAAACTTGTATTGTTTATTTTTTTAATAAACACCGGGAACTTTTTTATCAAGGTGGTATATGGTTAGTTTATATTATTTCATCTGTTTTAGCGTTTATAGTCACTGGAATTGCACAATAATCAAACAAGAAATCGTACGTGAATCTTAAAATTATAGTCACAGTCAATATTAGCTGGAAGAGTAGACTTTACTTCTTAATGTGTACTTAAGCAATGTGTACTCTTCACATAGGTATATCCTATAAATACAAGCGTGAGGCATAGCACTTAAAAAGATAAGCGAAGTTGATGGAAAGATGCATTTTGATAATGTTCTTTGTATATTAGATAATATAATATTTCATAGAATAAATTTTATTCATGAAGCATGATATTAAAAGCTTTACAACCGTAGTTTCATCATGACATTTATTTTTTGAAGCATTTGTATGAATCTTGGGATTACGAACATTTTGAAGAAAAATATTTATAATTCTCTGTATAAGATCTGTAAAATTTTTACCGAAACTCAATATAATTCACAAATATAAAAAATCGAAAAATAGTCATCTGCATTAACACATCGTCATTCATATTTCAATACCAAATTTCTTATTCATATATAATTAAAAAAGTGTTGCTTCTAAAACCGTCGTCTTCCATAGGCCCAAATTTGATGCCCATATGTTATATGTTATGAAAAACCGATAGATATTTCATATGAGTACTACTAGTGCACGTTAAGTCTGAAAATTATTCCTTTATCTTGCCAAGATGATAAAATCAAGTGTGCATGAAAAAATTCAATATAACTTTATGTAGAATAATTAAGTCACAAGACTTGGTGAGGGTTGAGTCATTTGTAATACATCCTAGCTGCGTATAATCCTCAAACCATTAGAAAAATGCGTATGGTGTAAGCAAACAGTAACAAGTTGGTTTTCGAAATGAGGTCATTTCACGTACGTAGGCCAGAAAATAGGTAAATTTTGTCTACAATCTTTTCGACAGTTA